CCCAATAAAAACCCATGTCCATTAGTTATGTAAATGTTAGATCTAGCAGCTTACACCTGGCAGCTTTACGCGGCTAGACTGATCCAGACATGGCAGTTTCCCCAAAATTAGGGGTAAGTTTCTGGTCCCATTATAAGGATTATAGTATTATAGTATTTGGGGGTATACATTGGGGGTTCCCCCTATTCTGGGAAACTGCCCTATCCAAGCTGAAGCTTGTTGAAGCTGTATCTAGAACTGCTTTCCTAGCTGTTCGTGCTTGTGTGTTCTCTCAGTAGTTTGACTGCTGCTGATACCACTTCTACCACCTCTGACTGCAACAAGGATAGCAACAACTCCTATCAGGATCGTTCTTTCAAAAGTGCTCTTCTTCTCTCCTCTCGTAAAAGGTCGTCCTCATCGGCCTTCTCTTCAAAATAATACTCATAACTCTTATGATGATTATCTTTTGTGATTGTGACACCGAGGCAATACAAAGGCTTTGCAAAGAAGACGTCCGTTGCTATCGAAGCATGTTCTAAAACAATTACATTGGCTACCTTCGAGAAACACGAATGCCTAAAAAACCGCAGCCCTGGATACTCACACTTGACATGCTGAGGCCTCCCTTCTGGAGCAAGGGAGCTCCTCACTTGTGGAGGCGGCCTTATCTGGTTTTGTAGAGGCTCACTTAATTCGGCTTTGTAGTTGTATGGGACTCCAAGATGGTATCCCTAATTTGGGGAACCTCCTATGTGTCTTATCTTTGGAACCAATCGGAAGCTGTGAATTTGGTATTGAACTGCAGGTTATGCTGTATTGCTTTGCGACAAAGTCAAAGACATGCACTGCAGAAGAAGCCCTCGCACGTGTGACTTACTATTATCATTATGATTAGTATTGTTCTTAGTGTTCTTATTTTTCTTAGTAGTGTTATCAGTATCATTCGTATTACTATTTTCTGACTACGGTTATTACACCCGTTCCAAATTTAAAAAGAGCAGCCGGCCTACCGCTGCCCTGCAGCGATGATGTGGAGCCCATTCAATGCTCGCTGAACAGCAGCTAGTTGCTGGAAACCAATGATCTAAAACAATTCCCCTCACCCCCACAGTCCCCGCAGTCATGGCAAGCATCTTGTCGCCAACTGTTGAGTCGTGTCAAAGCTCGTCTGCTCAACCTTACCCGCAAGCCCGTTTCCATTCCATTTTTGATTTTTACAGTTGTTTCTTCAGCATGGGTAGTGTAATTTGGTGTGCGTGGCTTCAGAGGCCCCAGCCCTCCACCCTACGTGGGCACCGTTCCCCCAGCATAGATCCTTGGCTTCCTCTAGGCGTTGCCATGATCCCTAGAAGTCTCCTAAACCTTGAACCCAATTCGAGCGACCCTAAATCCTGACCCCCTCAACCTAAACCTCACATCCAAAGCTGAGACCTAAACCTCAAGCCCCCTAAGGGTAGTACTGGAGCCTGAATAATTACCAATATTTGGGTCCCAGATTCCTGTAAATGTGTTCTGCAGGGTGCCTCCAATAAATACCAAGATGATATTCGCAACGGATTGGTCAATATGCATGCCATGCATTCGTTTATGCAATACCTGTAAGTTCCAAGTTTCGATTTCATCACTTCATCTTCCAAATCGTTTTGCGCTTGATATTCCATTATCGGGGTAATGTATCCCTAAACCCAATATCATCTGTGCTTAGATTATAACATCCCAACATTATCCCCAACAATGCACAAGTTTCTGCAAACCCTAAACCCTACATGCCAAACCCTGAACCCTACATGTTAAACCCTAAACCCTAACTGCCAGACCCTAAACCCTAGACCCTAGACCCTTAACTCTAGAGTGACTTTGCCAGGCCTCGGCGACGAAAGCAAGGGGTAGCCATGCTGAGCAAGACTTTCAGGCTCCCCGTCGTTTATGGTTAAGGGGTTTAAGGGTTAAGGGATTTAAGGTTTAAGGGTTCAAGGTTAAGGGGTTTTGTGGTTTAGGGTTAGGGGTTTAAGGGGTTTGGAGTTTAGGGTCCAGGGGTTAAGGGGTTTAGGGTTCAGGGTTTAGGGTTTGGGGTTTAGGGGTTTAGGGTTTAGGGGTTTGGGGTTTAGGGGTTTAGGGGTTTAGGTTTTAGTTTTTTTGGTTTAGGGTTTAGGGGTTTGGGGTTTAGGGGTTAATTGGTTAAGGGGTTTAGGGTTTGGGGTTTAGGGTGTAAGGTGTCGTGTTTAGAGTTAGGGGTCTTAGTGTTTCGGCTTTCGGGTTTAGGGTACGTAGCGCATTTATAAGAGCACGTAGAACCCAATCATAGGGCATGCTTATAACTGCAGTCAGAAGCAACGTTTATAGTTGGGTACCCGAACATCACCCGAAACCTCTAAGCAGGGCTCAGCCACTCAACCCTAACCTACAGAATCTGCCAGTAGCAGGCAAAGTGCTGAAACTCTGTAAGGATTATAGAAGTTTCATCTCGAGGCAATAGAGGGATTGAGGGCTTGATATGATGCTGGAGAACTTCTCTTCTTTCAAGAGGCTTTTCCAGCAAGAGCGCTAATTTGACTTTTGGTTGCCATGTTGAGGACGTCGGAGTTCAGAGTTTAAATGTTTAGGGTTGATGGGGGATTCCCAAAATTGTAGTACTTTTTTAGGGGTCCCTATGAGAAGGATTGCAGTATTTTCGGGTCCATATTCGGGTCTCCTTATTTAGGGAAACTACCAGATCTGGGCTTTCAGGTGTGCAGTTTTAGGTTTCTGGGAATAGGATAGCTGAAAGGCCCACAGGCTAATGCACAAATAGCTCTGCAAATAGGCGGTCTATAGCTGCAGCTTAGCTTCTCGCTTCCGAGCACGGGTCTTGGCAATGTGGCTTTAGTTTTTGTTCGGGCGACCTTCCCCTGGTGGTCACTTGAATCAGTGGAAGCATTCCTGTTGCTCTTTTCGCTGCTGCTGCATCGCAGTACTTTGAGTATTGCTGCTCAACCGCTGATGCCGGTGTATGAGTGCCCGCTTTTCACTGAAGGGGCGGGGGCGGGGAATATTGCAGAAGAGGCTGGAAAGGTCTGAACCAAACAAACCTGATCCAGCCTTTATTGCATCCTTTTGTAGTAGTTTGGGAGAGCATCCAGATCCCACCCACACTTCTCCCGTATGAGACTACGACGTCCTCGATGCGTCCGCACTCACTCCAAATACATGTTCGGCTCTCCGCGTCACAACACCAAGTTGAGAGTGCTTGGATGGTTTTTGATTTCTCTAGCGAATTTTCAGTCTTCTGTTTTCTTCATGTAGCAACAAGCGGAACTCACATACTGAAAGCTCCGGAGGGAAGACTGGCACCAAAGCTTTTGTGTGACAAGCCCGCGCATTCCAACAGGTGGTCGACAAAGCCCCGGCCCTGCGGCTGCAGCCATGGCCTGTGATGCTCTCTGAGGATTCAGGCACCCAGCTCAAAACTGCGGTCGCTGCATATTATAGTATATTATAGAAGATTATAAGATAGCATATTGTAGTATCTTGTAGTATATTATGGTACACACCCAGACTTCCCAAATCCCCAGAATAATAGCATAGTAAGCCATTATCTTGGGGTCGAGGGCCATCATGTTATGGGCCTGGGAGCTCTAGGTACACGGTCAAGGTTCCTGGTCTGCGTAGCTTACTGCCTGCACCTGCGTGCTGTCTTTCAGTGCTAGCTCAGACTGCCCTGCTGCAGAACACGTCCTGCACGTGGACAGCTGCTGGCTGAGCACCATCAACTGCAGCGACGGCACCATCGCAAAGGACTGACGTTTGCTTTCGCTGACTGTGTCGGGCCTGCTTGGCACTTTGCAAGCAGTGTCCTGGATTGTGGAGTTGATGGTGATAATGTCTTGGTAGGACACATCCAAAGCTTTGCAAAGGGATCCAGTTGTGGAGCCGTGCTGACCTGAGCATGGCCTTAGATGCTCATGGTATCCACTTGTGTTGTGGAGAAATGCTGGAGGCCTCCCCCCGCCACCGAAGAGGCGGTTCAACGCAGTTGGGGCCTTGCAGGCCACCTTCAAACCAGCCCACCTCACACTGAAACCGTCCTCGGCCGCTTGCCCTTGTTGTGCCAGGCTGCATTGCGCTGGCGCTCGTCCTAGTTCTTATGCTCTTGGGATGGCCGGCCACTCAAGGTGACTCTGGGCTTGATTTGCGCGGCTGCCCGAGCTGTCAGGTCCAGCCAAAGGCCCCCTGAGACTGCGAAGCGTGGGATGCCAAAGTGACTTGGAGTGTTGGGGAGCATTTCCTCGCCAGGCTGGTGCGGGGCTGGGCGCAAGGGCGCCTGGCCTTGGCTTTGCCGGGGTGTCAACGTGCGCGCTCATAGCCTGCACTTGTTCCTTTGTCCGGACCCCTTACCGCACATTCCAGACGGGTTTCACATACGCGAGTGGCGAAGTGTTGACGCAGCGTGAAAAATTCAGCATCCACTTGCAGTGCTGTGCGGACAGATTGCTCTAATTTCACCAGCCCTGTGACTGTGACGGCTGCACCGTGCAAGGTTGCTCATTCCGAGCCTGTTAGGGGTGTAACATCGCAACCCCACTTCCTGTCCTTGCAACCTGAAAAGGCCTTTGGAGAACATAAGACGATGCTAGAAGGACGTAGACTCGACCTAGACTTCTTTCTATGGCTTGTTGGTGTGCGCCAGCCCAGTCGGCTCAATTCGGCGCTGGTGACAGCAGGGATAAACAAGGGCCTAGGTAGCAGCAAGAAGCTGATAGCCGCCTGGCTGCACTCGGGGAGGTCCCGAAGTTCCTTGGGTACAGGTTCCTATAGGTGGGTTCCTATCACAATACGGGTCCCAAAATGAGTTTCCTCCATGTTGGGAAGAGTACTTCCGTGAAACTCCCACTTGGTCTCGAGCGGTTTCTGCAGCTGGACAGGTAGCTTCAGCAATGCCTCGTGACACTTCTTATCAGAGGGTAGTTGCTCAAGCCCAGACCCCTCTTTTTGCACCTCACTCACTTCGCTTTGCCAGGTGCTTTTTCCTTTCCGCCAAGATGTTCTTCGGTGGCTTTCCAGGAGGCTGCCCCGTAGGAATGTATGTAGAGTCCAAGCTCCTTAACGGGGATTACGTAGGGGAGTAGTACTGGGGCTATGAAGGGGGATACGAGCTTTGACATGTGGATTGGAGAATGCATGAGAACTTGCTGCACTGTCTAGTCGCAAGAGTTTACAGATCCCTGTTGGACTGTAATCCATTGTCTTCCTGTATGCTGGTCTGGAAGCCCTTGGGCTTATACAGGGTTGAGAGTTTAGGGATACTACCCAAATATCATGAATCATCCAATGGAAACCCAAATTCAGATGGACAGGTGACATGGAAGCCGAGATTATTGTATACTGGCTGCATGATGTTGGGCATTGTCTGTAAGTGCACGCGAAGTGCGACATTGAAGGGTCTAGCCAGCCACCTCGTAATCATTGTGTGTGTGTGTGTGTGTGTGTGTGTGTGGGGGGGAACTGGAACCAAGACTCAATCAAGGCCCTCAAGGGACTCGGAGAGATCATCAGACGTCATTATTCCTAATAACCCCAAAATGGTACCCGGCCGCATTCTTCTTTTGCGTACGAAAGGCCGTTCTTCAAGCTCTTCCATGTTTTCAGAAGCACGCCCTTTCGCTCTCTCAGGCGACTTCCCCGGGATGGGTGGCAAGGGCGGAGGCCCAATGCTTCCCGTTGGGGAAGGTATGGGACCATTGAAGCCCTGTCTGTAAATTGGGTTTAGGATCTAGGGCTCAGGGTTTAGGGTTTGGGGCTTAGTTCATGACATTCCAATTCCACGACCTTCCCAATTAGCCATTTTTTCGTTCAGATTCGGTTTTGGAGGTGAGGGCTTGGGTAAGTTCTAACCCCGCTTCACATTTCCGGTATGCTTTGTGGTCTTACTGGTTCGGCTTTGGAGTTGAGATCGTGGGTCGGATTAATCCACAACGTCGCGCGGAGTTGTCGCAAAGGCCGGTCCAAAAATGCGGACACGACCAAGTTCTACAAGCTACTCGAAGTGGACAAGACGCTTGGCCTGCAATACAGTGTAGCAGTAATGGCGGCGGTGGTAACGCTAGTGGTAGTTGTAGTGGTAGTGGGCTGGCTTGCCTAGAAGATGCTGTGATTCGAGCCAGCAAACCCTTCACGCATAATCTGGCCGTTAAGTAAGCGATGATGCCCCCAGTTGTGCTGAGCTTGCTGCAGTCTCGCTCTTTAAGTCCTCAGGCTGGAAGGGTGGTCGGCTGACCAAGAGGCTGAGCATCACTTATGCTCTATAGTCAATCAATCCACCACCACCACTGCCGCCGCCACCACCGCCGCCGCCGCCTCCAACAGCACCCAGTAGCAGTAGCAATCCTCGTACTGGTGGTAGTCGTTGTGGTAGTGGTGGTGGTGGTGGTGGTGGTGGTGGTGCTGGTGGTCAACAGGATTGGTTCTTCGAGTTTGAGGCGCAACGGGCGCTTTCATTCTGTTGCAGCGGGGCAGGGCACTTTGGCCCGTCAAGACCTTGACCGTCCCCACAGCGTGATTTTGTCTCTAAAGGCAAGGAAGGACCTCAGAAGAGCCAACTTGACAGCACCATCAGCTGTTCCATCCACCGGCCCATGGAATCGTGCTGCGAGGGTAATCTGTGAGTCTGGCATTGCCAAGGAATGCCTCTGAGGCTGACATCAAGAAGGCCGGGACTGCAGGAGTTCACGTCGCAAGGGGTTTGAAAAGCTGCAATTTGCAGTCCGTGAGGTTCCAATTCACCCTGCCATTGTCTTCCCAGGCATACAGAAAGCTGGCCGTGAAGCACCACCCTGACAAGGCAAGCTTGCACGCCAATAGTTTAAGATTGGGGTAGTTGTCAAAATAACGGTCTCTGTTTGGATCCCTATTATAATACGGCACCCAATATTTAGGGTACCGAAAAACGGGCCACAATTTTGACAACCACCCATTGGTTCAGAGCTGCTTGAATTCCATTTTCTCAGCGCCCGGGGCCCAGGGCGGTGACCCCGAGAAGTTCAAGGAGATCACCCGAGCTTACGAGGTGCCCGTCTTCGGGAATATATAGGAGGTTATAGAGGGGTTATATGGGGGTTTCTATAGGGGGTATATAGGGATGATGGAAAAGAATATGGAAGCTGCTATTTAGGGTTCAGAGTTTAGGGTTCAGGGCTGTCTTGGATGGTGGCTTTCCAACAGTTGGGGTCCTTCTTTGGGGTCCCTGAAATAAAGCTTGTAGAGCATTTCAAATGGGGAATTGCCAAAGTCAGCGTCCCATTTTGGTAGCCCTAAATATTCGGTGCAGTAATATACTCTATAGCCAAAAGGGGCCCATCATTTTGGGAACAATCCAAATTAGGTTCCCCACTTTGTGGAAACTACCAGTTCAGGCTTAACTGAACACGCAGCAAGGGCAGCTGAATACACAGCATTTGTCTTGAAACAAGCGCTAGTGCAGGCAACAGCATGACAGCCACCTGAAATCATGACTTACCTGGCTAGCAGGGAACGAAGCAAGGGAAAGGAAGATGAGCTAGAATCTAAACTCCTTAAAGGGGGTTATATTGAGGATTATACAGGGGAGCATTACAGGAGTTGCTAACGGGGTTACAAAGGAGAATACTAGGCGTTTAGACGATGGCTCAGATGTTATCATTCATCGGTTATACAAGGATTACAACAAAAATCCACTCCTTCATTCCGTGCTAACAAGAGGTAAGAAGAGCCATAGTATAAACTCCTTAAAGGGGTATATATATAAATATATATATGATCGAGATACCTTTAGGGTCTATGTGCCGCCTTTGTTTCTTTCTATAATCTATATAGAATTTAAATAATCTAAATAATTTAAAAAATTTTAATAGGCTGGATTTAAATTATTTAAATCAGGCCAGAGAATTTACATAATTTAAATCTATCGTATTCTAATTATTTAAAAGATTTGGCCTGATTTAAATAATTTAAATAATTTGAATAATTTAAATAATTTAAATCCAGTCCATTTAAATTATTCAAATAATTTAAATTATTTAAATTGTTTAGATTATTTAAATCAGGCGAAATAATTTAGATAATTTAAATCCAGCCCATTTAAATTATTTAAGTTATTTAAATTATTTAAATTACTTAAATCAGGCCAAATCTGTTAAAT